GACAATTAGACAAGTGCTTTGTTGGACAATGCCGATGAATCTTCCTGGAGAAAGCGCGTTCAAATCTCATTGGATTCAGTCAGGATGGACCGCAAAGAAATCGAGGAAAGCCGTAGACGTCAAGTCCTTCCGAAATACTGGATATTCAACGCGAAGTAAACCGTTTCGCCCTAAAAAAGTGAGCCGTCTTAGGTTTTTGTAGGATATTTTCTCATTTTCCATCAATCAGGCTTACATTTTGGAATTGTCGTCCTGCTCATGATGGTTTCTGAATGAATTCTCGCAATATACTTGGTCATTCTTGTCCTAGATTTGTACAATGGTATGTACTTCTCTATGACATCACATAATAGGGAAAGCTAATCCTCCTCAGGCCTTTATGGCATGCATTTCCTCACAGCTAATCAGAATCACCTGCGCCCCGCCGCGAGCGACCGCGGGCGATGTCGCTCGGCTGGTGGCGACCGCCCCACACGACGTCGCGCAATCGATGCAGCCTCGCGTTAATGGACCGTTTACGTAACTATTCCATTTGGCAACGGGTTTCGTGTAACTTTATTACTTGGCCATTTTCTAGCATTCTCCGATAACATGCACCTGTTGCTGCTTTGATTTCGGCTGCATTCGTTGGTTTTTTCCCTGTTTTCCAAAGGAGGACACAATAAGCATATTCCTGAACGTGCCTCGGCTAGTTTAGTCTGTCCATTTTTCCATTTTTGATTTATTTTTACAACCCATGCAGCTTACTTTTCTACAAGCTGTGTCGATGGTAGGGTTTGTTTTTGTTCGACTCCAATTTTTAATATGTCCTAGTGAACCTTTGCAACTAGTAGCTCTCGTAATTCTCATTTTTTCTTTATTTTATTGCTTTGTGTGTGTCCGTACCTTCGGCTCAATTTATCCACATAATCTTCACTGTGACTGTATCATTCTGTTATCGCCGCTGACTGTATCATTTTGTTACAGTAAAGCGGACGAGAAACTTCTCCGGCGGAGATCGTCAGACCGGTTCTCCTTGCCGCTGTGTGCCTGCTGTTCACCACAAAAACGACCGTCACAAACGCCCTGGATCGGAATTCAACATGGAACAGAATGAACTATTATTACGCCCCAAGTGTCAGTCAACCCGACGAACATACTTTTCTATGTGGTTATAATAAGGTAAGTAATGTTACTTTCTATTTCTTTCAATATTGCTCAAAATATCGCTCACATTTTTATATTATTGTGGAATCTGGAGTAGTTTTGGTCTAAGGTGGAGCGGAAGTAGCTTAATGGCCATACGTATATGACGCACATGTTCATGGGAGGGGTGTGGTTCGCTAGGACAGAAAATGACTTTTTCGTGTCTTGCGGCGGGAATCTCTGATCCACCGCTGATTATGACTAGACTTTGAGTTCCCGTCGAGCAAAATGTTTCGTGTTGCAAAATGCGAAAAGAGGGGCACTCGCCGCTGCATGGCGCGGCTTGTCTGCGCTCCTTCAGCGAGCGAGTGGAGGCTGGTGTCAGAGTCCGCGATCCGTCGCATTTTTTCGCGATTTTCGCGATTTGCGCGACGGGTCACGGAAATCACAAGTGCCCGATCAATACTGCAAGGTGTTCTCCAATCCTGCCGCCACTTCTGCTTGATAGTGATGGCTGAATGACGACTGCTCATGATTCCACTTGTTTCATATTCAGTGTTTCAAATGTTCAAATGGGGCACTTGCAATTTTTGCGATCCGTCGCAGGTTTCGCGAAAATCAGCGAAACTTGCGACGGATCGCGAACTCTGACACCAGTCTTATATATTCGGACTGTTCACGCATAGAGTCCTTGAACTGTACTCTTCATCGGATTCTTCGTGTTGCCCATTGTTATCACCAATATGCTGATAGGGCAAGGGGCCGCGCGAGGTGACGACTATTAGTCCGAACAGATTATTACAGTAGCCAATGGCCTCGTTCAGAATGGCAACCCTGTCAAGTAGGCCAAATCAGTGCCACCACAACAGGGCTGGAAGTGAGTGAATGGCGCTTCCCAGAAAGGGGTTGATCTGCCCCTAAAATTTAAGCCTTTTAAATCTTTTTATATTTAGAAGGTTTTCATTTTCATCTCCCGAGAATTTGATTAACTCTGTGATGGGGGCCCTACTGATATGTTTATCATTTATGCTTGTAATCATAGCTTTTCTTGACAATTATTTGAACGATAGGTCAGCTTATAGTGCCCTGAATTTCTTAAATTCGCAAGTGGCATTTTCGCTAGAAGGCACATTATGATACTTTTCTTGCAAATACGTCTTGAATGTTTGCTTCCAGAAATGTGATAGTTACATTAATGAGGATGACTTTCTGGACAATAATTACTTATTTTCGTTGCCTTTTCTTGTTTCGTGCACAATTTTGTATGTAATGTGGCACGTTTAAGGTTCGCCGTTATGGTACAACACAACCACCGACCGTAGATCATTTACCTAGGAAATATATAAATTATACGGTCAAACCCGACGACACTTTACAGGGCATCGCTCTTAAGAATGACTGTTCGGTGAGTACATTCCACTCGTAATTTGTTCTTCCAAGTTTATGTTTGGATTTGCGTTTTGCATCATTTTTACTTCCAAGTTTATGTTTGGATTTGCGTTTTGCATCATTTTTACTTATCTTTCTGGGGAAAAGTTGACTTTGTGGCTAAGTGCAAGCGATAAGATCAGGGCTTAATTATTAGGGGACATCAAGGCTTGGCGTCGTGAGAGAATCGGGAAATCTAGGATCGATATGTAACCGCGAAAAGAACTTGTCCTCACTTGATAACCAAAGTAATCACTAGTCTTAAAAGATAAAAGGATAAAGCATTTGCCGTTGATCAATCCCTTTTTGGGATGTGGCACGCATTCTACTCATTCCACTCGTTGCTTTAATGCGATGTTGCCTCATACAAGACTTGCGGGGTGCAGCCGCGAGTACACAGCCATCTGTTTTTATCCTCCCAGACAAGTCTGGTACCAATTAACCGACCCCGGAGGATGGAAAGCTTGGTTGGCGCACGGGCGACTCACGACCAGGATTTGATCCCCGGACCGCTCGCGTGCTAAGCGTGCCACTTGCCACACTACACCACCTTCCGCCCATCACTAGTCTTATTCTCGCGATTTCTACGATCTCGTGTATCAAATATATATTCTATGCTCTACAAGATCCAAGTATGGAGGTAAGCAAACCAGCCCTTTTGGCGTTTCGGCTGGGACCGTATGCTGAATGTTGGGGAGGGGATGGGGTCCCCAACGGTCGACGGTTTACTTCAACTCGGTTGGTACGATAGGAGAGTACTGACGCAAGTGGTGCAGCTGGTCCAGCAGCTCCGCCAGAAGGGCTGGTTTGCTCACCCCAGGACTAAGCCTTGGAGAGGGGACGGACCCGTCCTCTCTTTAAGGCTTAGTTCTGAGGTAAGCACCAAATTGTGGCGGTTCTAAGGACCGAGTTGAAGTGGTCCGTCCACCGTCGGGGACTCCATCCCCTCCCCAACATTCAGCATACGGTCCCAGCCGAAGCGCCAAAAGGGCTGGTTTGCTTACGTCCTAAGTATGAACGAGTTGCAATAATTATTCGGGCATGTATGTGTTTTGCTGCGCGATCATCTGCTTTCGGACATCGGCGAGGCTGTCGGGGAGGGGTGTCTGATAACTTGGACGAAACACGAATCCAGCTCACTTCATTCGTAGTTCATGTTCAGGTGTCCAGTTCTACGATCCAGCATTGGGGCATGGTGCGTCGTCTGCCAATAGAGTATAGGCGACGAGAACGAAGGAGCCTAGCTTGCCATAGTTTAACTTAAAGCAACAGTCCCAGCAGGGTGGGCGTGGTCGGAAACGACTGCAATCCCCTCGGCCGATTCCCACTTCGGAGCTGTTCAGCCCCCCTAGTCAAGAACGTAAGAAGTGTGACTGAACAAAAACTCACCTTGGAAAGCCGCTAGGCAGGGAGCTGAAGTGGGCGTGGTCGGAATCGGCCGAGGGGATTGCAGTCGTTTCCGACCACGCCCACCCTGCTGGGACTGTTGCTTTAAGAGCTGCGATGGAAAGGGTCTCATAGGATCAAATGGCTCTGCCCATTTGAATTCTAGGTTAATAGCGGAAGCGGCGCGTCATTCTGCCATACTATTGTTTGATTCTACAACTCTTCATTGGCCGTATGCTGAATGTTGGGGAGGGGACGGGGATGGGAAAGGTTGGGGAGGTTCGTCGCAGGACCCACTGGGCAACGGCCGCACCTTTGATTTTGCAGCTTTGTTTCCATTCTTTCATTGCTGTTTTGGATGAAAGAAAGGTATTTACGAGCGAATATACAATCAGGAACAGTAAAAGAATGGAAACAAAGCTGCAAAATCAAAGGTGCGACCGTTGCCCAGTGGGTCCTGCGACGAACCTCCCCAACCTTTCCCCATCCCCGTCCCCTCCCCAACATTCAGCATACGGCCCCTCAGCTCCACCCACAACTAATAAGCCTTAGAGGGAACTGTGAACACTGCCTGAGTTAGGTAGTTTATGACTATTTCTAAACGCTGCATGTTTTTGAACACCTTTGATGCTAATTCTTTCGCACGCCTGTGAATTTGAAGTAACTGACTTTATCGCCATACGCTCGCTACTCCTATCACTTTCAATGTTCAGGTGTCATCTATTGTACGAGCGAACAAATTGTGGTCAATGGACGCTCTTCATCTGAAAACATCGATCCGGATACCCATAGGAAATGATAGCCATAGAACGGGTAGCGCTCGAGAACTGCGAAGTCAGCGCAGTGAGCCACCCAAGCCTGTCGAAAAGACGGATGACCGTCCACAGGAAAGCATGAAGGATATTTTTAGTCGAATTGATAACGCTATAAAAACAACGTCCACAACGGTGCGCAAACTTGAACGGGAATCAACGTGAGTCCCTTGGTGTTCGGGCTCGAGTTTTTATCAAATAATAGCAAGTTTCAGGTTGGATGAAATAGACCGATCTCACGATGAATGTCGACAAAGTCGATCAAGGAGGCAAATTTCACTTCCGAAATTACTACATAGTGATTATTATAATGAACTGTCTTAAATAAACGATAACATAACAATCTTTATCAACAGGTAACAATTTACTTCTTGCCCGCAGTCTTCTTTGCCGTCTTTCCCGCCTTACGGAAGGTGGCGGCATATGGGTTCAGCTTGTTCATCAAGTTATGCTTCTTGAGTGGATTCCTGTGTACCTTAACCGACTTCACGTTCTTCTTAACCGGCCTGACAGCTCGTACGATTTCCTCAGAACGAATCAGCCTGGAGAGATCAGCGTTGGTGAGCTTGTTCAAAGGAACAGACCAGCCGTTCTTCTGCTCAGAGGAATTAGCCTTGAGAGATCCGTAGATGGCATCGAGCTTCTTGAAAGCTGATTCAGGTCCAGATGATGAGGCGGCCAAGATGACCTCCAGGTGCGATCTTGAGCAGATTGAGGCGCTCTACGTTCAACACGTCAACGCCTGGGATATTGCGGAAAGCACGAGCGCAATCAGCATCCTGTCCGTAGATAAGGACCGGACCCAACTTTCTCTTGTGCAGCTTGTTCCTCATCTTACCGGTTCCAGCGCGTGTACGCTTAGAAGCGTAAACCTTAAATATTGAATTTAAAAACGTTTTCAACGAGATAATGATAAACCACAAAAAACTAGGATTACTCACCTTCTCAATATCTTCCCAGATGTGAGAGCGTCGAAGGAAGGTCACAGCTTCCTTGGTCTTACGGAACGACTCGATCTTATCACTGACAACGAGTGGTACCTCAGCAACCTTGTCGATGACGTGACCGCGAGCTTGTACAAGGGCGGGAATTCCTGATGCAGCGATGGCCGAGCAAATGGCGTAACGCTTCTGGGCAATGTTGACATGACGGTGCCATCTGCGGAACACTTTCAATGGAGCAAACATGTGACCTCCGCGGCACATGTTACCGAAGCTCCTTGTCCAGAGCGGTGTGTTCCACCACCACGGACACGAGGAATACGAGCAACAGCACGTCCAGTTCCCCATGACTCGGCAGAGTGCTGCTTACCTGGAAAGAAAGCCGTTTTGATAATTCAGACTCATTAAAAGCAACTGTGAAGTTTCAGTCGTAGGAATATAATCTATTTTTGCTTCAGTTGAAGCGACATGAAATAATTCGATCTATCGACTTAATTCTGGTACTAATTACGGGTAACTATTATAATCAAAGATTTCGATTTTGCACACGACAAATACAGTTCATATCTCGCCGTTTATTTACAAGGCTCTACCGACTGGACGTGGCGGCCGCCGCACTTGAAAGAAGTTGCGTGAGTATAGTTTCCAGCATGCTTGCCGATTTCTAATATGTTGGCCAAAGCTTATCCGCGGCCGACTTCAACCTAAATTTGCGGTTGCTGCCAAGTTCAGAGAGCGCCTAAACAGACGGGGAATGTGCCGACATATACTTATGATCCACTCATGTAAAGCGCTATTGGTCCGTCTGTCGTGTATGTCATGCGTGGCTGTTCTGTCACGCAGGGTCAACCCTATCGTTGGTACTTTTTGGAATTTTTTACGACCCCCCCCCTTCATGGGCGAATTGATACGACCCCCCCCCCTTGTGTGTACGGTAGGAGAGTGAGAGCAACTACGTCCAAGCTCCGCCAAAGGCTGGTTTGCTTACCTCAGGACTAAGCCTTGAAGAGAGGACGGATCTCTCAGGTCCGTCCTCTCTTGGAGGCTCCAAGGCTTGGTTCTGAGGTAAGCATCAAGATGAGACGGGCCGATGGAACTCCGATGAGGAGGAGGGGGGGGGGGGGGGGCTATGTGATGCAAGTTCAAGTGGAAATGAAAAGAAATGGAAACGCGCATTGATCGCGTTTGAAATGTGGTGGATCGCGCCCTGGGAACGGTCGTGGCAATGGGGCGCGTTTGCTGATCGATTATTGGTGACGAATGGGATATTGAAATGTAAACAAATTTTTTCTTCTTAAATTTTCAGGTTCCTCGGAAGACGGGGGTGGATTTTGGATCACCGAGGCTAATCCTTCTTATGTAGAGCGGATGTATTCTAAAACATTCTGGAATGAATAAGTAATTGATCAAGAAATGGAATTGCACTACAATTTTTACCTTCCACTTTCTAGCCCTATAACTTTCTTCGTATTCAAGCTTTTGCGGCGAAGTGATTTGATTTGAAAAATTCAAATTATTTTCTCTCCATTCATATCTAAATTTTCTTTTAAAGCTTAATTTAATAAAAATTTAGCACGTTGGAACTTTTTCCTGGTCAAACGCGACTTTTCAACCTTCACACGATCATAACTTCTCTCAAAGTTAGTCATTTGGGAAGCTGAACGCGCTATGAAAAACTAGAGGATTCGAGCTTTCTAACAAGTACCCTAACATTGCTGAAAGGTCAGTACTTCGAAAATTAGTCCCGTTGGGACTTTCTTGGGGGGTTCGCGGAACTATTTTTCTGAAACCGCGACTTTTCATCCTTTTAGCGATCATAACTTTGTTCAAACTGATTTATTTGGGAAGCTGAACACGGTATGAGAAACTAGAGGGTTCAAGCTTTCTAACAAGCACCCCAATTCCTGAAAATTTAGTACTTCGAAAATTAGTCCCGTTGGGACTTTCTTTTGAAGGGGCATTCTTCAAGTCATTTTCTTAAGAACGTGGGTTTTTCTAGGTTTCACAGGCCGCAACCTCCAGGGAAAACAATATCGTTTTGACCATAGGATGTGTTAGAATGCTTCGAGCACGTGCTTGCAGTGGCATACCCTGCTTCGGTGTGCGCCATGTCTCGGCCGCGCTTCTGATTCGCTGATTCGATTGAAAGGTCATTTAGAAGGAACCGGATTACAGATGCTCTACTATCAATTTTCTTGCGTAAACAAAGTGGTGGACCATGGTTTCTTAGGCAGTACTCCAGCTAAAAATTAGTTTCATATATGCGAGATAGTACGACCCCCCCCTCCAACCTAAACCAAGTACGACCCCCCCCGTTGGTACTTGTACCAACGTAGGGTTGACCCTGCTGTAGTGAAAGTCACTACGGTCTTCGGATTCCGTCTGGTGAGACCGGCGTCAGCAGTGGGTGGCGCGGCGTAGGTCTCGAAAAGTACAAAACATACATCGGCTAAACGGAGCCGCCCACAGTGGACATGGCGTGCATCGAAGTGAGTGGTACTGAACCAGGATTTCAGATACTATACCAAAACAGCATCGAAACTGGGGGAAAAACGTAGATAAGGTGTGCATTGATAAGTCAGATCGAATTATAGAAACCCACCTCCGGGGCGTACTCCAAAATCGCAGTGCTTAATGAAAAAATTGAAATATCGGTCCGCAGGCAATGTGGCAAAGAAGCCTACAGAGCAGAAAACAAATTGGTGTAAGGGGAGCAATGTCTAAGGTGTTTCCCGCATACATGACGTGGGCGGAGGTCCGCCTACAATGGGCGGGGCGCGCTCTGAAGTGTACAGCATTTTCTACAAGCCCTCATAATTCGGGTCGGGGGAGCCCTAAAGAGCCGGAAAAAGGTGGATAGAGCTCGGAGGGAGTGGATGCTAAATGTCAATGGTTGGCGGAAATCCACACATGGTTCCAAGCCGAGAGAGAAGATGATTCATTTTTGTCAACGCCAGAAAGTCAATGCATGGTGATGGGGTGGATGATAGCGTCATGACTCGGTTCAGGAGTCACCGGACACGATTAAGATTAGAGTGGGTGCAAGTGGAGCCAATGCTATTTGGCCAGTTGAGCGAGGCGGACGACAGGGGCGGAGTTATCTACAGAGAAGTTGTAACTCGGCTCCAGGAAAGTTTCCTGGGAGACGCGGGAAGGAGTGGAATTGAGTTATTGTCAGCGAAGAGTAGGTTACTGCTAAAAAATTAGTGGATGGTGAGGTGTGACATCAATTGGCGAAGTTTGCGTCACCTGATTATTACAGGTAGGTTCAAAGAGAGCACACGAGGGTAGTTTTGGAAAGGCAGGAATCAAGTGGCAGAAGGATGGGGTCAAATGCTATTGGTGAGTGACACCGAGGAGTTGCGGAGTTTTCCACGGTGGACCACAAAAATATCAATGGCCCCCTGTTTCATACCAATGCAGTCCCCGTGAGATGCTCGCAATGCGTACGCAGCTAAACTGGTTCTTTCCTTAACAATTGAACAGAATGGGAAGCCGAGGCCCTTTCAAGCACAGCAGGGAAACTCATTACTTAATCAATATTTCTGAGTGTCTCGGAATTGGTCTGCGGATATACCCAGAAGAATTGTATGAAAAATGTGTCTGTATATGGACGCAATCAAAGCTTTACCGCTGAACCCCAACAACAACAATTGTAAAAGAGCCATAAATTGACAACTCTACAGTACAAGTTATAAAAGTACACAATACGTTTTGCTACGGTGCTCGCGGAAAGGTATACTGCATCCGAAAATGCGCGTGATCGCATGTTGTTTACCAGAAGCAAATTGTGTATACACCAACCGTCTTAAGACTACTAATAGAAGAGGTTTTTTGACTACTGTGTCCCCGTAAAGATATTCCTCTCCTTGTTCCCTTTTTGTACGAGATAAACAGGTACAGCAATTATCACACTTAATATGGTTTAATTGTACTGGTTTCTAGGGTAAGGGGGATAAGTTTCCAGAGGTCAACTCTATGCTATGGAAAGTCACTTTGACGCAGCAGGCCACGTCGGACCGTGCGGGGATATGTCTCCGCACCATTCCATCATTTTTTTTGCAGATGCACGACTTCTTCCGAAGTTTTTTGTTTCTATTTTATAGATCGGATATTGATATAACTATAAACGTTGTGGTCCATGGAATAGTTAAATATGCTTCAGTTTAACAAAGGTTTTCCAAAACTCGTGAACTTTTCAATTCAGCTCAAACTCACACTAACTCTTAAGAAAGAAGTAAAATTGTGAATGGCATTTGAATGTTTGGCCAAAACGTTGAGAACGATAAATTTGCCAAGTTGTAAGAAGTTCCAACTTTTATAGTAGAAAAACGTATACGAACACTCTTCAACAAGGTCTTCAATTTGATCCATTTTGTAACCCTAAATAGGCGTTTACTCAATCGAAACTTCTGCTGGAGGAGCCACTTTGTTTGTGCTTTTATCATGTAAGCTAACTTACTTAGTCACCGCTCTCTAAAGTTGTTTATACGTTCGAGCTTCCAAAAACGGGCCTTGTTGGACCGTGCGGGGGATATGTATACCGCGACAAATGCGGTCGCAAAATCGCGTCGGTCCCACATGGCCAAAAACACCAAAACTCGCATTGTCGTCAATGTGTGAAGTATGATAACTGCTGAACCTGTTAACCTCACACTAAAAAGCGAACAAGGAGAGGAATACCTTACGGAGATACAGTAGCGTCAAAAAAGAAATCACCACAGACGTCTTTTCCACAACTCGTATAAGTTTGATATTTTTGGCTAATTTTCTTTTTTTTTGAGATGTTATTACAAACAGTAATACGAATGTTTCCAGAGCTAAACTTATGAAAAAAAAACCTTCATTGCAGTCCGACGGTCTTTCATCTTTGCGGATGATAAAATTTCACCTAGTTTAGCACTTCAGCAAAAAGCTAAATCACACATCATTACTTTTTTCACTACATCTACCAACAAAAATGAGCAACGGGGAAAAGACACAAGGAAGCTAACCGGAGAATTTGTCGCTTTTGTGGATTTTAACTTGGGGAAAAAAAAGCTCCTCCCCTGGGGAATTGATCTTCGTCCTCTAGCGCATGGCATCAGATAGAACACCAAAAATATTGTCCGAGTGCGCCAAAAATACCAAGTCTGACATGAGTCAAGGCGAAAGATATCTCGCGATTTCTCTAACATTAACTGAATTAACGGTCAATTTAGCTGCGAAGCCCCAATGGACGATTTACCGACGAAAGCGCCGACCCTGCTACTAGGCCAAATAGCCTGGACCACGAGTTCACCAATCAACATCCCAACCCCAAGATGCCAGGGATGCGCTATCAGAAGTGAATTTCCGAGCCAGTCATT